ATCTAGTGCCAAGTTGTCAAAAAGCTTGTAGGTCAAGGACATCACCCAACACTCTCACATGAATTTGGAGTTTTCTCGCCAAAGCAATACTCATCTTTTGCAGGTTCACTTGCCCCCACCACCTAGTGCTCCTTCCTCATAACTTTAAGAATAGGCTAGAGATATATTCTATATTTCCATCCTATAAATAAATAAATAGAGCTTGTTTCTAGTCCAATTTCGTCAACATTGAGATCATCTTCGATATAAATGTTAAAATTTTGTGTTAAATGTTCGCATGAACAAAAGTGGAATCCAATTTATGTTTTGTTGACAGAGTATTTTAATAGAGATATTAACATGTGTTAAAATATGTTAGAAAATGCTGAGGTCCTCTTAAGTGTGTATATATTTACAAAATAAAATGGTTACAGCCAACAAACATCTAAGTCAACAACTCCAATGGGGCACCAAATATTATAAATGGTTCCTAACTACCAACATATTGAGCTAGCACTGGCTTTAAAATCTTCACCGAAAATGCTCCTAGAGAAGGGGTAATGTTTACCCACTATAACAGTCAATGAACAAAATTATTTTAGCATGGTGGTCGTTTCGTTTTTGAGTGGGGCTAAAAAAATATAAAAAGACAAAAAAAAAATATTTAAAAAGTCAAAAAGTTAAAAAGATAAAAAAAAAAATTGCCAAAACAAAGTTAAAAAGCCAAATAAGAATACCAAACAATCAAAAAAGTTTCAGGCTAAAAAAGTCAAAAAAATTAAAAAAATCAACTAAAAAAGTCATTGCCAAACGAACACTTAAACTCCATTTTTCTGCATAATTGTTTGTACTAAATAATAGGGGTGCTCCCGGTTTAGTTGCGGCCGAAAAACTTTCAATTCGCCATCTGTCCACTAGATTAGTGGATTGAAAAAAAATAAATCCACATCTATCTGCCGGATTGGCAGATGCAGATTGACGGATTGGTGGAAGGATGCAAATTGATTTTACGGTTTAAATTTTTATAAATTTTGAACATAATACAACAATTTATAAATATTTTTTTAAAATAACAATCAAACTCAACATAACCAAAAGATTATCAAGTAAATTCTCAAATACTAATAATAAATACATATAAGAAAATCATGTGTTTTCAAAACTATTTCATTTTTTTTTTTTTATTCAAAAACTATTTAATTTGATTTTTTTTTTAAATGACAAAATTAAGCCTTATGTTTTTTATACAAAAATACCAAATATCAATACTTGTCATTTGATAAAAAGAGTTTCAATTTGAAAACAAATTGAAAACACAATAGAATATCTAAACTATTTTTCAATTAAAAACACAAACAAAATATTTAAACAAATTAAAAACACAAAATCTTATAAATTACTAGGAGTGCTAACTGTTTGGCAGTTCAGTTGCAGCAAAAAGAACCTCAAATCAGTATTCCGTCCAAAAACTTGACGGATTAAAAAAAAAATTAATCTGTAATCATCCGCTCATCATTATACATCTATCTAAAATGCGACAAAACGATTTGGTTCGATTAATCTAAACGGATTGAAATATCCGCTGAACACCTGCTAAATAGGGTGTTTGATATCTCTGTCAATCAATACAGTTACTTTGGTGCCCGTGTAGTCCTTCCTTTGTCCAATTCACAACAATCGTAACATAATCATTACAAACTGTAGAGACTTGAGAAAGTATTAGTCATCCCAATGAATAAAATAATTAGATCATTTTAATAGTTTCCTTCGAAAGCTCCATAGAAAGATTTTATTCAATTTCATCTATAAGACATGAAATAAGTCCGTGATCAGCACCAATATCATGAGCTATAATGACTCCATTGAAAGTATATTGCATTTCATGTATAGGAAGGACCTTGCAAAAGATGTTTATAAGCAGGACAAATTTTCAATTATTTGGCATCTTACTTGACATCTGGTAAGTACCAAAGCCTTGATCTTTCAATCAGGCAGCCACAAAAAGAAATCATACAAAAGAGACTGCATTCAAGTCACTATGAAATCCAAAAGATCACCACCAGACATGCAAGAAATAATGATCCCAAAAAACAATCACTATGTTTGGTTTGAATTTTTTGGATTAAGTTTTTTAAAAATTGAATTTTTTTATTTTTATATTTTTTTGTTTTTAGTGAATATTTTTAAAATTTTAAGCATTTTTTTTACTTTTTTAAATACACTTTACTTAAATGTATCTAAAAAGTAAAAAATCTGTGAAAAAATATTTTAAAAAATTAATAAATACATAAAAATATAAAAAATTTACCAATTCTCTTTTTTTTTTTGTATTTTTGGTATTTAGTGAATTTTTAAAAGGTTTTTTCCACAAATTTTTTATTTTTTAGATATATTTATGTTAGGTATGTTTAAAAAATAAAAAAAAAATTACTTTAACTATTAAAAAAATTCAATAAAAATTAAAAAAAAATGAAAAACAAAAAAATACAAATTTTTTGAAAAGTATTTTTGGAAAATCGTAACCAAGCAAAGTGATTGAGCACAAGATTTTTAAGGGCAATGGTAGAGGGTCACAATTTTTGTGGCTCAAATGGCTCAAAACTGCCAAAACGACGTCGTTTTGAGCACAAAACATGCCAAAACGACGTCGTTTTGACAGTTTTGGGCCATTAGAGCCACACAAATTGTGACTCTCAAACATTATTCGATTTTTAATTGGAAATACGACAAAATTGTAGTGTATTGAGGCCAAGTTTGGGATACGTAAAAAAAGTTAAAAAGTCAAAAAGTTACTCAAAAAGTTAAAAAGTTAACACTATTCACCAAAAATCAACAATTACGGCTGCACAATTTTCAATCCTAATTTTCCTCTACAAACCAATTTTTACAATTTTTTATTACACATTTTTCCATAAAAAGTCAAAAAATTAACCCAAACATCCATATTTTTTTCCTCAACTTTTTAGTTCAAAAAGACAAAAAGTACACTTATTTAGGACACCCCAAACAAACCCTAAATGTTAATCCAATCACCTACAATAATATATGTGGTTAAACCAATAATAATAAAGAAAGAAAGGGCTCAAGCCAATAGTCAAAGGTTTTACACCCAGCACCGAGAATTATAAACATATTTGAAATTGTCGTGATTGATTACTGATAAATGTAGACAAAGGGGTTGAGAAAACTAGCTTTTCTATCAACCTTCGCATTTGTCACACCCGCAAGCCATTAGCAAGAAAATAGTAAAGAAAGCTAACTGTGAGCTAACTATGTGAAGACAATAAGATAATAATATGGCAAATCTGGTTTCCCTGGAGAATCTCAGTCGGTTTCATAACATTGGGCAGACTTGAGGATTAGACTAATTACATTAGGTTAACCATCAACATTAAATAGGAAAACACCACCACCTTTGAAGCCTAGCACTACAATTAATGATGATTCTTAAAAGATATATACATATTATACATAGTTTTGTTGGAATGCATAATGATTTAAGCAATAAACTAAACAAGACAAATATGAAGATTTGGGTATTGGAAGATAAACTCCATTGAGGGAGTTGAGACAGCTCCACTGTCAACAATGTTTATCAACCTAACAATGAAGTATGGACACAGACACACAACATGATACCAATACGGCACAGATACGTCAACACATTAATTTTCAAAATATACAGAACACGATACGTAAGGGACACGCATAAAATATATAATTTTATATATTTATTATATGTTATATATATATGAATATATCATTCAAAAGATAATAAAAAATACAATATCATACTAATTCCTATAAATTTATATGGTTCTTGTTTTATTATTGCATCCTATGTTTAAACTTATAATTAATTTCACCTATGTTTGACTGATAAACACGTGTATTAAAGTGATAGACACGTAAGTGTCCAAAGAGTGTTCGGGTCTTTAAAAAAAAATTAAAAATTATGACACGTTTTGAAAAGTGTCAAACACACGTCGGCAAAGTGTTCAAAGAGTGTTGGTATCCGTCACACAACACGACACGACACGACAAAAATACGTCACATTCTTAGAAGTATATGTGCTTCTTAGTTAATATTAGTGCCCCTTAAGACTAGCATGGGCCTTCAGATTATAATTTAGGGCAAATTTCAACACTGGGACATTAAAAAAAATTACAAAAACATATGGGATGCGCGTAGTTTTGTGACAGGGTGCAAGTAAAAAGTTGTAGGGATGCAAAAAAGTTGTAGGGATGCAAGTAAAAAAAAAAAAAAAATTCTCCCCCTGGAATGTAATTCTCCTATAATTTATAACAGCAATAATATACAAAATACAACATAATGGCCATGCTTGGTAGGGCTTATTTCCAGTTTATTTCAACTTTTAGCTTAATTTAAGTTATTTTGATGTGTTTGGTTCAACTTAACAATATAGCTTATAACTTTTTGTAAGTCAAAAATCAACTTATTCTTTGAGTGGAATTCTTTGAGTGGAGAATGAGAAGCTTAATTTTTAAATCAAAAATCAGCTTATGTTCATAGGTATAAGGTATAAGCTATTAGGCTATAAATTATAATCATTTTCCCACAGTTCTACTAAATGGGCCTAATGCACCATGCATTACTACCTAAGTAGTCGCCTCATAAGATTTGTTGTGACCGATATTGCCACACGCTACTTGTTTAAGTGACATTAGTTTTATGAAATTTTCGTGCATCAATCTTCCCCCCTCTTATCAATATACTGTCATTAATTTTAAGTACAAAAAAATAGACATATAGTAGAAAGAAAATCAATTCAACTAACAGGACATGCCTATTCAAGAAGGATTTCCTGGGCAAGAAACATATATCTCAGGGAATGAAAACGTAAGCATTAAAAGTAGAAAAGTTGATAAAATCAACATTGGTTCATTCAATGTTTGTAAAAGATAACTCAAGTATACCGTCTTTTATGCTTCCATCAAAAAATATTTTCGTCACTAGAAAAAACATTTTGCATCAAATATTTAGCAATCCCAAAAACTATTAAAACCACGTCCAACACTGATTTAAGTTATGCTTAATGTACAAATGGTGACAACAAGGAAAAGAAAAAGATCGAAATTTTCAAGTCTTTAGCAGCATTCTGTTCTGTTATTCATTGACTTCGTATACTGAACAAAACAAAGGAATGGATTAACATCTCGCGAAAGGCTCATCGTCAATTTGCCCTTCTGCTACATAATGGATTAACAAATTCCAAAACTTTAAAATCAATTGCATGAAAACCATAAAATAGTCAGTCTACATTGGGGTGATTTGCAAGCAAGGGAAGCTTAAATGCTTCAGCTTTGCTGAGTTATTGAGTCAGCAAGAGACCCCAAATGAACCTCCAAACAGAGTTTCTACAATGAACTAGCTATGATCAGCTGCCTTAGAACTAAAACTCGATTGAGCAATCATGTTTTCTCCTCTAGAATATACACTTGAATTCTCCCCAACCGATTTGTTTCGCCTCAATCCAAAGACACTTCCCTTATCATTACCACGTGGCAGAAGCTGTGTTCTTCCCCTGCCAATAGATCTTCCACTTTCAGTTCTAAAACTAGAGCCTCCATTTACTGATTTCGATTTAAACTCAGACTCACCATCAGCTCCAGCCATGAGATCCATCAAATTATTTCGAAAACCCAAATCAGAGTAGACTCTCCTTGAATTCCTCAAATGCTTACCAGACTTAGAATCTATGCCCCCCAAATTCCCTTCTTCAACACCCTTTGACCTCAAATTCAACTGGGTATTCCCAGATTCAACTGGGTGCCCCACCGTTTCAACCATCAAGCATGGATTACTAAAACCATTCCACGAATGAAGCGGAACCAATTTACTCAACCCACTAAGGCCCTCCACAACCTCCTTCATCGACGGCCTCCTCTCCCTACAAGACCTCACACATTTGGCTGCAATCACTGCCAATTGCTTCCCCACCAAAGAGTCCTTCGGAAGCTCAATCCTCGGATCATATATACCCAAAAGCTTCCCTCTCCTTATCAACGGAATAGCCCAATCCACAACCGAAGGAGGCGAATGCCCAACATCAATTGCCTTCCTACCACTAATAATCTCCAGCAATAATATACCAAAGCTAAAAACATCAGTTTTAGTACTCAAATTATCAGGAGTTACATAGCATGGATCAAGATACCCAATTGTACCTGCCGGTGGAGTTGACCGGAGTCGAAAATCATCAACATGGCACTGGACAGCCAACCCGAAATCGCCCAACCGGGCACTGAAATTGCGATCAATCAACACATTGGCAGACTTTACATCTCGGTGGATCACAGGAGGAACTGAAGAATGGAGGGTGTCGATGGCTTTTGCAATCTGTAAAGCGAGTCGAATTCTTCGGCCCCAATTGGGAGGCCGAGGACTCGAATGAAGAAGATCATAGAGAGTGCCATTGCTCATGAACTCGACCACCAAGAGTCTGTCACTTGGGTCGTTTGTGAAACCCAACAAATTGACGAGTCTTGGGTTGTGGAGCTTGGAGAGGATCTCGATTTCGTTCTCGACTTCGTTGGAGTTGTCGGAGGAGAGTCTGGTGCCTCTGGAGGGCTTCTTGACGGCGACGAGGCGGCCGTTGCCGAGGAGGGCCTTGTAGACGAGGCCATGGCTGCCTTTGCCTAGAAAGTTCTTGTTGGAGAAGCCATTGGTGGCGGCTTCGAGGTCACTGTACTCGAACTGTTGGATTTTGATGGGTTTTTTGTCATTGAAATGGGTTTTTCTTGAGGACTGGGAATTGGAGACTGAGATTGCTGATTCAGCTTTACAAGATAGATAGCCCATCAAGATTTGGGAGACAATAGAAATACAAGGGAATATATTTATGTATCTGGATCAATCGAAGAACATGTACGGACTCAAAAAGCGGAGGAGCTTTCCAAAAGGTTTCTTAGATGCTTCGGAGTTCTATGAATTTGAAAGTGGGGTTGTCTCGTTGCTGAAAAAAGGGGGAGAGAGAGATGAGGATGGTATACCCGTCAAACGGGTGCCCCGTCAGATATGGAATCCCAAGATTGCCAACATTGTTGTAAATTATGCCTTTGCGTTGTAGTTTAAGGCGTCGTTTGAAAAGTAAGTTACGATTAATTGAATTTATTAAAAATAAAATAGATTAAAAAAGGACAAATTATATATACCCTTTCGAGATTTAACAAAATTACAGATACTCTTGAAATTTGAGAAATTACAGATACGTTCCTGAAAGTATTATTTACATAACAAATTAGGGGGTAAATTATTATGAAAATATAAACCTCATGGGACAATTTGTTATGAAAATAAAAATCTCAGGAAATATCTGTAATTTCCGAAATCTCAGGGGTATCTTTAATTTAGCTAAACCTAGAGGGAGTTATATGTAAATTGCCCATTAAAAAATTAATAAAATTTATGTTTAAATTATAATTTACAACATTATTGCTTGGTTCCATTTTTTTAAAAATATTTTTCTTAGATGCTTCGGAGTTCTATGAATTTGAAATTGGGGTTGTCTCGTTGCTGAAAAAAGGGGGAGACAGAGATGAGGATGGTTTACCCGTCAAACGGATGCCCCGTCAGATATGGAATCCCAAGATTGCCAACATTATTGTTGTAAATTATGCCTTTGCGTTGTAGTTTAAGGCGTCGTTTGAAAAGTAAGTTACGATTAATTGAATTTATTAAAAATAAAATAGATTAAAAAAGGACAAATTATATATACCCTTCGAGATTTAACAAAATTACAGATACTCTTAAAATTTGAGAAATTACAAATACGTTCCTGAAAGTATTATTTACATAACAAATTAGGGGGTAAATTATTATGAAAATATAAATCTCATGAGACAATTTGTTATGAAAATAAAAACTTCAGGAAATATCTGTAATTTCTAAAATCTCAGGGGTATCTGTAATTTAGCTAAACCTAGAGAGAGTTATATGTAAATTGCCCATTAAAAAATTAATAAAATTTATGTTTAAATTATAATTTACAACATTATTGCTTGGTTCCATTTTTTTAAAAATATTTTTCAGAAAATTTTACTTTTTTATTTTTCGTATTTTTTTGTTTTACTAAATTTTTTTTACTTTTTAGACATACCTAATATAAATATAAAAATTTGTGAAAAAAATCTTATATAAATTCACTAAATATCAAAAATATAAAAAAAATATAAAATTTTAGTATATTTTTATGTATTTATTAAGTTTTTAAAATATTTTTTCGCAAAAAGCGGAGGAGCTTTCCAAAAGGTTTCTTGTAGATGCTTCGGAGTTTTATGAATTTGAAATTGGAGTTGTCTCGTCGCTGGAAAAAGGGCGATGGAAAAAGGGAGAGAAAGTGAGAGAGAGAGAGAGAGAGATATGAAGATGGTATACCCGTCAAACGGGTGCCCCCTCAGATATGGAATCCCAAGATTGCCAGCATTATTGTTGAAAAATTATGCCTTTGCGTTGTAGTTTAAGGCGTCGTTTGAAAAGTGAGTTGGGATTAATTTAATTTATTAAAAATAAAATAAATTAAAAAATTAATAAAATAAAACATTATGTTTAAATTATAATAATTTTTTTTTTTTTCTAACAAAATTATAAAAAGGTTAAGGAAGCATTTGGTAAAATTTTCTAAATATGATTTGAGAATAGGAGTTTTATTTTGAGTTGATGAGTTTTGGAATTATGATTTGAGTGTGGAAAATTTGTTGGGTAAATGAGTTTTTAAAAGAGTTTTGAATTGAATGGAAAATTTTTGATGTGACATATGATATTTAATATAAAAAATTACAACTCATAACCAAACACGCGATTCAAAATTCTATTCAAAACTCATAAAAAAAAAAAAAGGCAAAACACCAATAAATCCCAAATGTTAATTTGTTAAACCACTTGGTCCTACCTTTTATTTTGTAGACTAATAAGTCCTATTTGAATCTTAATTACATATATACCCATTTATTTAACACAAATTTTTTTTTTTTTGATAGAGGACAAATGTAAGTTTTTATTGATGTTGTACTAACAAAAATATCCAAAAAACTTACTATAGGCCTTTTTTAGATTTCCCTCTTTTTCCAAACATCAGCAACATTAATTACATCAACAACATCATGAAACATCAACTACATAGCAACATTAACTATATCAACAACATCATCAAATATCAACAAACATCATCAACATTGTGAACATCATCAATATCAATTACATCTTCAACATCATCAAACATCTTCAACAGTGTGAATATCATCAACATCAACTACATCTTCAACATCAACAAACATTAAACATCATCAAACATCAACAAACATTGAGAACATTGAGAACATTATCAACATCAACATCAACATCAACATCAACTACATCTTCAAACATCATCAAACATCAGCAACATCAATTACATCTTCAACATCATCAAACATGATCAAACATCAGCAACATCATCAAAACATCGTCAAATATCATCAAACATCAGCAACATCAACAGTTATTAAAATCAAGAGATTAATATAAAATCAAGGGAACCCCCTGGTTTCGCCTGTGTCACTGAACCATTTTGCTGACCATCACTCACAGGCAGCGTCCGTGGCTGCAAATTAAGCTTCAGCCTCCCAATCTCACTTCCCTCCTCCATTTTTTTACCCCAAGCTTCCGCATCTACACCGCCATTTGTTGCAGAATCAAAGCCCCCTCGCCTCTCTCGGAGACTATCAAAAGGACCACCACTACCATTAGTACCGAACTTCCTCCCCTCCTCTTCCTTCTTCTTCACCCAGTTCTCCGAATCTGCGCCGCCATTTGACTCGAAACCTACTCTTCTCTCCCTCTAATTCTCAAATCTCCTTGTCGACACGACTCATCCGAAACCCTAGAAGACCCCCACATAGAATTCAAACCCTCCTCGCCTCTATTCCTATCGCAACCGTACGATCTGAATCCACCACCGAGCTTGGATCGGTCGAGCTCTTCGACGGTTCTCTGGCGCGGATTGGTCGGCAACGACATGAGATCTTCGACAGTGAGGCCTCTGGTTTGGGTGGTCTGAGCCGATTTGCCAAACTTGGAGAGAGGTATGGCTTGGGGCTTCTTCTTCTTGGTCTTGGTGGTGGCCGCAGCAGCGAGTCAAGGGTTCGGATGTTGATGTTGATGATGTTGTTCAATGGTGGGTAAAAATGTAAACTCTATATACAATATATCAAAAACATATATCATACTAAAAATAAAAAGGACTAAATGATTTAAGAAAAAAATACTTAGGACTAGCTAGAGCAACATTTATTAAAATGGAATTTATGAGTAATTTTTCCTTAAAAAATTTATGAAATTTTTTTTATTTAAAATATAAAAAATAACAGGTGGCAATTGTTAAAAGAAAAAAAAATGCATTGTTCTAGTCAACTGGCCGAATGTCTGAGAAGACGACTAGCCGGACATCTGGAAGGACGACCCGATTAGCCCAAATTTTCCCACCTTGGATAGAGTTTTCAAAAATGAATGTGAAATTAATTTTTAAAAAATTGTAAACAAACATCACGTGCAAACTAAAAGGTGGAACTAAAGTTCCAAAACTCTACCAAACAGAACCTAAAAGTTTTTTCTAAACAGATTTTTTTACTCAGATTTAAATAGTTAAAAAGTCAGGCTAAAAAAAAATTTACCAAACGAAAGTTAACGGTTGTTTGGGTAGTGGGTTGGCTTGTTCAATGAATTTTAACTTGGGGTTAAAAATTTCTTTTTGGATTTTTTTTTTTTTAAGAAAAAAAGTGAAATAATTATGATTTGAATCCTATTTTATTTTTTTGTAGCTAAAAAAGTACCAACCTCATTTTAGCCTATTGCCAAACGAGGGCTAAAGGTTGTTTGAGTTTTCTAACTAAATAAATTTTAATTTTTTTAATTTTATAAATTTAAATTTAAATTTTTTATTTGTTTTCAATCTAAATTATTTATTTATTTCCATTATAAGTGTCAAAATAAGTGAGATTTCATGTTCGAATTGAAATCTAACCACTAACATAATAACAACTATTTTGTGCCCAAAACAATTTTTGTTTGAATAATAAAGATATGTTCAAGAAAAAGTTGTTTGAATACCAAAGGAGTAATGTTAGATTTTATTATAAATAAAAAAAATCATGTAAAATTTCATGAAATTTTTAGAACTAATATAGTGAGTAGATAGAAAACAAGAAAAGCGGTTTATCTTAATGGAAGTATGTTTTAATTTTAAAATATTAAGATACAAATAGTGAAAACTTAATTTTGTCTTATAGTGTTCTGTGATTAATAGATTGTTACTTAGTGTATGTAATTACATAACATACAATAAAATATCACAAACTAATATAAATGTGAAGGATTTTCATGAAATTTTTCGTGTTTTTTCTTTCATGAAACGTAACATTACTCATAATGACTACTCATAATGAAGATAGGTTAAGGGAACGCCAATAATGGGCACAACAACATACTCGTATGTAACTACAAATGTTGATTCTTTCTCTAAGAAACCCTATTTTCTCTCTTTAAGAAATCCTAATTGCTCTCTCTTTCTCTTCTTTTTAAGGGGGAGAGGGTGGTGCTTTTAACTTTCTTCTTCCTTTCTTTTTCTTCCCATGTGATTTCTATCACCATACTAGCCATTATCGCTCATCTTTTCTTCATTATTGGTTTGCCACCAAGGAAGCTTTCAAATCTAATCTCAGATTTAATTCATGATCATGAACCGATGTTGTAGCAGTCCAGGTTTTGACCTAACCTTTCCTGTTCTTTTGTTTTGGGTTAGCACTTGTTGTGGGTTGTATTATTTTGTGTTGAATCTCTTTTGTTACCGGGAACCTTGGTATAGAACTTTGTAATCTTTGAGCAGTCTACCAAGTTAGGCTAGTTGCAGCCACAGTCTTCTTTACTGTGTCCATAATGTATGTATCTGAGAGTCGTGCCCGTGATGGGCCGTGACCAGGCCGTGACCAATATGCATCTTCAGGTCCTAGTATAGGGGGCAGGAAAAGTGTGTGGCATACGAAGGAGGCCACGACC